CATGACACCATCTAATTGAGGGCATATACCGCCCTAGCATTTGTCTTGCCTGTTAGTCGAATGACACCCCTGTTGACGCAGTGCTGAACTTGTGACACCTACGAGTTCACGTCTACATATAATGCAGGCAATCTCAAGGAGAACAATATAAACTAAAGTACAAGTAATCCAATAACCGTTAAATGTTTGGCACGCCTTGGCCAACTGCAACCATATTTAAGAGTCATTTAGGTAAGACAGACTTCCCATTGAAGTCTATGGCACCAAAAGGAAGCCACTTTGTGTCATTATATAGCATGTGAACAATTAAACTCACCAGCTTAATTGTGTTGCCAGCACTTCCAGTATGGAGAGATGGGCCATGTTGACTGCACTGTGCTGACAGCTTCAAGCATAGTAGAAGATCTGCCATGCAACAACAAGCGTGGGATTTTTTGCATTAGCGTTTAGCAGCGTTTTCCCACATTGTTCTGCATTTGTGTTTTTTTTAGCGTTTTATTTTACCCAAAAAAAATTTTTTTTTTTTTTAAAAGTCCAAAAACGCCGGTTTGTGGCATTTTACAGCATTTTGCCATGCTTTTCAGTGTTAGAGCATTTTTACAGCTAAAAAACTGTAGAAACCCACTAGTCCTGGGTTTATTTCCAGCCACAAAATGTTCCAGCCAAAAAATGTTGATTACAGTCTATGTGTGCATGGACACATAGGATACCATGCTGGTGTGGAGAGTGTAAACGACGATCATCTGTTTACATCCGCATCCTTCAATATCTGTTTTTTAAATAGATCAAAACCCTATTTTTGTTCTGTAAGGGCTCTTTCACACAGACATTCTGATCGGGTCTGCCTGCCCATTTTTCAGGTAGACCCGATCAGAACCTCCATTCTCCTCTATGGAGTGGTGGGTGTAAACAGACATGTGTCCGTTTACACCCGCCGACATCCGATCCACCAAAAAGGGACGGATGGGGATTCAGTTCCCCTTCCATCTGTCGGATCAGGTTAGATGGAAACGAACAGGCGGCCCGTTTTAAACTGACCACCCATTGAGGAGAGCGAGAAGCTCTGTGTCTGTTCTGCAGCAGCGGAGCAGACACAGAAAAAATGATAAGGACCTCCTGCACTACTCAAAATGGACTAATGACAATTATGGGGAGGGGGTTGCTAACACCCAACCATATACCAAATGGATATTGTGCAAAATATAAAATAAAAATGGTGCAGCGCTACACCAAATAGTAGTGTGGAATGCCACCTTTAAAGGGTTCTGTAACTTTAAGAACAGTTGCAATTTTTTTTTTTCAAGTTAAAGCCATCTTCGTCTGGCTCTGAAACACAGAATGAAAATCATAATTGTGTTACTGCAGGGTGAACCCCAGGCCTGGACCTTTAAACCTAGTACATACGGACCGAATGTCAGGGGCATCGGTTGGTTTAATAGAAACCAGTCGACATTTGGACTGTGTGTGTGGCATCTGGTCCACCTGTTTGGCCGGCTCCTGTCAAAGGGGCTGTAACGTACATGTGAATGATGTAATGTGCAGGTGACATAAATGTACAGATTTGAGTAGGTAAGATGTGATCAGTAGCAATATGTAATTGTAACTGGAGGGACATTCCATTGTCATTAAGGATGTATATTCTGTAGGGACATTCCATTGTCATTAAGGATGTATATTCTGTAGGGACATTCCATTGTCATTAAGGATGTATATTCAGTCCATTGTCATTGGGGAAATTAGCATCAATTAGGCTTCTGGGATGTGACACCTTTTGTGTTAATAAGGTTGTCACCTTCTGGTGAAACCAGTTTAAAGTAAGTGGCCCCCAGACATTCTGGCTTCCTCCATATCAAAAGGGATATGTTTAATCTCTCATAAAAGCTAAAACATTAGTTGCAGAGAGATGAACATGCTCCCTTCTTGTAGGTCATTCTGTAGGCTGCATCTGCACTAAAAATCATATTTGTGGTTTAGACAGAAAGCCAGGAAAATGCAGGAAATGGTTAGGTGGCGCTGGATGGCGACAGTCGATTGGTGTGTGGCACTGTCACGATCAGACTGATGCGCTGGTGTCGGAAATCTAATCCCCGACTTGGTGTTTCAAGCCGGTCTTGGCCCGATTGAACTTGGGCAGGTCAACACCCAGAACATCCTGTGGGCAGGTACAGGAAAACCCACGCATGGTCAATTGGCCGAGGACTAATATCCCGCCTACGTCCATTTCCCCATAAATGGGGTACCCAGACACTGGGACATTTGCTATTCGTACAGAGCTGGTTCGATCGACCAACGGATTGCTGATTCTCTGACTTGCTCCAGTTGCAGGGTAAATACTGGTAAAGTTTTACTTCTGTCTTTTATTCCCTTTTTATTTTATAGTGAATAGTCACTTGTGTGTCTTCTTGTATTTCTTGTATTTCTGTAACTTTTTATATTTTGTACATATTTTATGCACTGCCCACTTTTGGGAAATTAAAGCTTAAAATAATTAATGACTTCTGTGAATTTAAAAACGTGCTCATATCTTCGGAGAGATTAGATTGGAGAGATTAGATTGGATTAGATTGTATCGTATGCCTTTAAACGCTTGGTCAAGCTCATTGCCAATCTGTATGCAATTGCACTGTGTGTGGACAGATTGTATGCAGATTGCAAAGGTAACCGATCTGCCAGACAAAGATCTGTGTGTGTGTGGTGTCTCAACAGACCGTTCTGCGGATAAACTGTTGGGTGTTGGCAGGCTACCTTTTGTGGTGTGTCTGGTGCAGGGGGGGTGTACAGTGGAAGGGTGATTAACACTGGGGTTCAAGCTGTAGGTAGCTGGAGGGACCTTAGAAGGGTGTGTAATTACTAAGCTGGTCCTCAACTCTAATCAGTGCATCAGATTGTATATAAGATTTTTATCTGCCAGTGTGTGGTCGAACAGCTGGATTGGAGTGGAGTCTCCATCTCGTGGTGGCCAAAGGTAGTGCGGGCTGTGAAAGTGTGTCACGGCTGATCTTATATACGGTTTTATATATATTCAAAGTTAAGTCCCCTTTATTATCTCGTACCCCCTGTCACGGCCGCACGTGCGTGCCTTGGTTAGCTAGTCGCTGTGGGCGTGGCGTATGGGGGATCCGCGACAGGGGCGTTACTGAAAACGTTTGCCGATCGGCTCTTGATCCGTGCTTTCTGCCAATGGCTGAGTTCTGATCAGAGTGTTCTGATAGGGGAGCTGTTCACCCTGTCAGAACACTATAGCACAGCAGGGGAGATCGCTGTACTAACATGGGATAGTTAGTACAGTGGCTCCTCCTGAGCTGTCAGTTTTTTTCCGTTCAGCCCACTGGGCTGAACAAAAAAAAAAAAGTAGTATTGTGTACTAGGCTTTTAGTCTGGAACCAAACCATCCAGCCCTGCTGAAACAGCCCTGCGTAACTTACAGAAAGGGCAAACTTCACTGAGATATTTTGTTCAGAGTTTTGCAAGTGGACCACAGAATCTGCATGGAATGAGGCAGCGCTCTGCAGTCAATTCCGAATTGGCCTATCCAAGGCAGTTAAAGACGCTTTGATTAACTACCCCTAGCCAGCTTTGCTGAAGGAGGCCATATAATTGGCTATCATAATTGATTGTCACAAGTGGGAGAGGAGACTGAAACTTGGCACAGCTAAGGAGAAACCTATACCTTCATTGACACCATATTCTTCCCCTCTCAGTGCCTTGTCTGAGGACGAACCTATGCAGCTACCTTCCACCTGTATATCTGCTCAGGAATGCACTCGCTATCACAACTTGGGACTTTGCTTGTATGGTGGCCTCAAGAGTCATATGGTTCGTTCTTACCCCACATGTTCAGGAAACTCCAAAATCCTAGGTAGCTAAGTGGATTTTAAAAAATATTTTTTGCACTGATTCCTATGGTGAGAAGATGGACACAGCTCTACCTTGTCCCTGAAGTCCGGTGTGAGAGGAGTGGCCTCAGCCGCTGCTCTAGCCACACCCCCTGATGCATTTTCCCTGCTCACCTGGGCTTGATCACAGAGGCATTGCCTCTCTGATCAAGCCCCAGTTGGAGTGGGCAGGGCAAAACGCATCAGTGGGTGTGGCTAGAGGGGTGGCTGAGGCCACTCCACTCCAGGGACTCCAGGGACTGGGTAGAGTAGCGTCCATCCTCTCATCTTGTACAGCGTCTGGAACGACTCGGATGCTGCTCCCACTCCCCCATCAGCAGTGTAATTTCTTTTTTTTCTCTCTCACTTGGAGCGGCGCCACAAGTCTTTCACATGGTATGATTCCTATGGTGTTATAATGTGTATATGGTCTATATGACAAATTATGTTTTGTTAAATTTTGATATAATGGTGGGCCCTGCAATAAAATGAAACAAAATGCTAAGGCCCCTTTCACACGGGGTAGACCTGTCAGTGGATCCACTTGTTCAGCAGGGGGTCTATCTGCTGATCCCCACTGAGCAAGCAAGCAAATGACGAGCCCGTGTTTGCTCCACTTGTGCAGAGTGGACATGGACACCGCCATCTCTTTTTGATGGATCAGATTGGATGTTGGCGGGTGTAAATGGACATGTCCATTTACACCTGCCACTCCATAGAGGAGAATGGAGGTTCCAATCCAGTCTGCCTGAAACATGAGCAGGCAGACCCGATCAGAACAACCATTGAAAGGGGGCCTATCTGCTTATGTATTTTAAGTTCATAGCTACTTCACCATGCCCTACCATAAAACTTTAAATTTCCCACAGATAGGAAAGGAATACCGTATTTTCCGCTCCATAAGATGCACTTTTTTCCCCAAAACAAATGGGGGGAAATGTCTGTGTGTGTTTTATGGAGTGAATATGGAGAGGCTGGACTGGTATCCCCCCCATCGCCACTACCACCTTGTTAGACTACCAGGCCGGCTCTTCTGTGGCAGCACCAGGCAGGGCCCAAAGCAGCTGCCCCTTAAAGCGGAGTTCCAGCTGAAAAAAATTAAAAAGTCAACAGCTACAAAAAAAACTGTAGCTGATGACTTTTAAAATACAGCCACTTACCTGTTCCTCAGTCCAGCAGGGTCCTTACCACCGCTGGTTTTACCGGCTGTCGTATCTCTCTGGTACCAGCATCTTTAGTGTGGGCACCTGGCTGTGACAGCTTGCGGCTTCACAGCTGGGTGCCCACTGCGCATGCACGTGAAGCGCTGCACTTTGTGAATGGCCTCGTAGTCTTATGGGACCTCGTAGTCCCAGAAGACTTATGGGACCTGTCCACGTGTCCCAGAAGACTATGTGGAGGGAGGACAACTTCCACTTCTGATCGCCTGGGCGATCACAGCGGAAGTGGGAGCAGGTACCTGTCAAATTTGAGTACCTGCTCCCTAAAGGTCTGCAGTCTCTGGTCATCTCCTGTACTATGTCTGCAGTCTCTGGTCATCTCCTGTACTATGTCTGCAGTCTCATCTCCTGGTCATCTCCTGTACTATGTCTGCAGTCTCTGGTCATTTCCTGTACTATGTCTGCAGTCTCTGGTCATCTGCAGTCTCTGGTCATCTCCTGTATGTCTGCAGTCTCTGGTCATCTCCTGTACTATCTGCAGTCTGCAGTCTCTGTAGTCATCTCTGGTCATCTCCTGTACTATGTCTGCAGTCCTTGGTCAGAATTTTTTTTTCTTGTTTTCCTGTAGGTGCTATGTCTGCAGTCTCTTCTTGTATGCCTAAAACAAGCATTTTTCTACAGATGCTGACAATGTATATGTACCGTATTTTTCGCACCATAAGACGCACTTTTTTCCCCCCCAAAAAGGGGGGAAAATGTCAGTCTCTGGTCGGCCGGTCCGGTATTTCTGCCGCCACCATGTCAGAATACCGGGCCGGCCGCTCAGCTGTTCTCCCCTGCAGGGCCTTACCTGTTCCTCGCTCCAGCGCTGCACAGTCTTCCCGCGCTGTTCTGTGACTGCCCATGCGCATGTGCTGCGCTTTGTGAATGATCTCTTCTGGGACACATCATCTCACAAAGCGAAGCGCTTCTTGCACCTACTATGTCTGCAAATTCAGTCATCTGGTCATCTCTCTGGTCATTCCCTGTACTGTCCCCCTGTACTGTCTGCAGTCTCTGGTCATTCCCTGTACTGTATACTCTGCAGTGTCATTCCCTGCACTGTCTCTGGTCATTCCCTGCACTGTCCGCAGTCTCTGGTCACTATGTCTGCAGTCCATTGGTGTCCGCATCAGAATTTTTTTTTTGTCTTGTTTTCCTCCTCTAAAACCTAGGTGCGTCTTATGGTCAGGTGCGTCTTATGGAGTGAAAAATCTGGTAAATGCTCTTCTTGTACTATGCCTAAAACAAGCATTTTTCCTACAGATGCTGACAATCAATATAAAATATATGGTATATGTAGTTTTTATGGGTCTGTAGTTTTGCTCTGGTCATACATGTACTGTCCGCTAGTAAAGAGTAATGGCTAAAACTGCAAACTAATTGTGTGGCATTACTGTACTGTGTCCGCAGTAAGTGGTCATCCCCTGGTCAGCACCAAATAGCCCTGTTTGTCTGCATGTCTTAAAATAATGTACTATGTCCGCAGTCTCTGGTCATCCAGTACTAGGGCAGTCCATTGGTTCAGAATATTTTTTTTTCTTGTTTTTTTCACTCTAAAACCTAGGTGCGTCTTATGGTCAGGTGCGTCTTATGGAGCGAAAAATACGGTATATGTAGTTTTTATGGGTTAGTATTTTGCAAATACATTACATGGAAAAACTGAATAATTGTGTGGCATTACACACAACAAAATAAGTGCAGGTCAGACAAATAGCTAATTTTGTCATCCATGGAGTGATTTTTTTTGTTCATTAACTTCTGTGCTAGTAGTATCCCATATTGTTCATGTAATGGACTTTTCAATTATTCAGCAATCCAATGCTGTTCAACCTGAAAAGGGTTTTTTTCTAGCTGTTAATGGCCAGTTTGATGCATTTCACTAAACCAGTTGTATCAGCATCAGCAAGAGCTGAATAAATAATAACTGTACTACACATTGTCATGGAGGCCTGTAAGATACATGGAGCATTTAGAAACCTGACCACCATATATTTATCTCATTACTATAACACAATATAACTCCCAGTTTTATTTTCATGATAACTCATGGTACAACTTGTTAAAGAATATGTAAACCCAACATTTCATATTCCTGATATGTGCCTGCTGTCTGGGCTGCTGTTAGAAACCGTGGGGCCCCATACAGCTAACCTGACAGAGCCCCTCCACCAAAAAAAAAAAAAAAAAAAAAAAACTATTTACTATGCTCCAGTTATGAATGAACACAGTAAGTGATTGTTACCAATCAGTCACTGTTTTCATTCAGGAAAAGAAGGGACTGGTAAATGTGACATATTTCCCCCACTCTCCATCCTGAAGAATCCTATTGTGTGTTTGTATATGCCGGTGGAAAGGATAGGAGTGAATCCGGCAGCACTGTGGGGGTGGGGGCACACAAGGGGACCTGGGCAGCATAGGGAACTGGGGAGGGTGATGGGTGTGGTGGAGGCAATTACTGGAACTGACCCTGTATGGCTCTCTCTGCAGCAGCTGAAAGCCAGTGGGAGGGAAAGGAGAAGAAGCCACATCTGATTCAACCAGATGCCTGGGCCTCTCCGCTGGCCTGGGCCCTGTGCAGGTGGACTGGTGGTACCCTGTTATCCATGGCCCTGCCTGCTGTACCATATACTTGTATGAAAAAGTATCCTGTTCTCTTTGCATTGCTTCCTTTGTGTGAAATCCCCAGTGTTCCTGCCAGTTCCTTTGCTTTCCTATTAAAAAACTGAACACACTAAGCAGGAGAACACAACATGGTCAATTCTCTAGCTATGCTCTCCTGCAGAGTTCTAGTGTGCTCTCCTGCAATGATCAGACTTGTCCTGACACACTCCCCCTGCACAGCCATTCATTGGGAAGATCAGTGTGCTGCTGATTCCCCTACTCTTATGCAGCTCAGAACAGAGGGTATGTGATCACTTATAAAAACGGGGGGGGGAAAGGTATTAATAATGTTTTTTATATCTACAGTATACACAACTGTTTTGCCTTTAATTTCTATTTGAAATTGAATGGGTTGTTTTACAAGGTGAGGGTTTACAGTCACTTTAAGTGTAATGCTTACTTTTTCTTGGCAAACAAACCATATTCAGTTTGATTTACTGTCTAACATCTGTATCAGATGTGAATTAGTACTGTTCAATGCCTATAACGTCAGATCTACATTGTAATCTTTTAAAATGGTTGAAAAGCCTTAAGGGTTTTTTTTTTTTCACATTAATGCATTAATGTAAAAATACCTTCTGTGCCTGGGATACCCCCATCCCTCTTTCATATACTTACCTGAGCCCTATTACAATCCAGCACTGTGCATGAGAGCAGCAGCTCTCCTGGCTCTGTCCCTCCTCACTGAGCAGATTCAAAGCAGCTGGAGCCATTGGCTCTAGCTGCTGTCAATCAAACTCTGTGATGAGGGAGCGGGGGGCAGGGCTGTGCCCCGCTGGCCATGTTTATGGATGCAGGCAGTGGGACTCGGGAGACAGCCCGCATGAGTGCCCCCATAGGAGACGGCTTTCTTTGGGGGCACTGGATGAAGAGGAGGAGCCAGGAGCGCCAGCGGGAGTCTGAGAAGAGGAGGAATTTTTTTTAAATTTAATTTATAAGAATGAAGCTTTACAAACACTTTAAACATATTAATGAAGAAAGTTTTCCATGTGCAGTTTAAATATTTTTCTACACTTGAAGAGCTGTATGAATCTTAATAAATGTGCTTATGGTAAAAATTAACAGCCTATCTTGCCTTTAAATAATGTCACCATAAGTCTATACTTATATCTTTTCACAACTCTAGATCTAACTAACATGACTCACCTGCTGGCATGTGTTACTCCCTCTCTAGCTTCAATAGTGAAGATGTTGCTCCATTACTTCTTAAATCAGAAAGGAAACCACACATACAAAACAGGAATGAGTCCTTCATGTATTTTATGGTGATGCCAAATTCTCACTAGGGCCACTAGTGTGACAGGGGTCCAAGCCATTCTAGCTTTTGGCTTTTACCAGTGAAGCCATTACAGGCAGGGGAAGGACAAGAGGTGGGCAGAAGGGACACTTGCCCTGGGCCCTGTCCTAATCTGTGGTGAGGGGGCGCACTGAGAACTTCAGCCTCTGATCCTGCCTTGCTGATAGGAGTGACTGTGCTTCATATTCACCGCACGTGGTACTGATTCCCTGACTCCTCTGTTCCTTCCAACAGGGACCATTCCTAATTCAGGGCAAAAGGGGCAGCTGCCCCGGACCCAGTCATTGTTGTGAGCCCCAAAGCAGCTGCCCCTTGAGCCCCTGCTGATAAGTCAAGTGCATTATTTTTTGCCTCTTGGTAACCTTGCATCCGGCACGGGTTTAAGTGTCCTCTCGCAGTGTTCTCTCCTACACTGGCCTCGCTCCTCCCACTTAGTTCAGTCTAAGTGCACTAAATCTCTTCCACCGGAGACGTGCTGTGCCCCTCCCCCTCACTGGGCTCCTTAGTTCAATGTCACCACTTATAGTCCACCACCTCTCCTTCATCCCACTCACATAGATTCCGCTGACTGAGATCAACAACATGGCAAGATATTTTATTACCAGTGATACCATCAACACAGAGACATTTTTTTCCTTCCAGTGACACTACAGATATAGGAACAATGTTCCCCAGGGAGACCAACACTGTTGGGACATTTTTCCCTCCAGTGACACCACCGATGCAGAAATTGTTATCCTTTCAATAATTTCCTGTCAAAGGGACATTTTTCCTTCCAGTAACACCACCAAAGTGTGCACCATATGTGTGCAACATATTTATACTATCTAGTTTGCTGCAGCGTAACACTGTAAGTACTATTTCAGTGCATGTTACAAACATTACAGACTTTACACCACTATTAGCCCAATTTTGGGGTGGGGCGCAGTTTGCCATCTTCTCCCTGGGCACTGAATGACCTTGTCCCGGCACAAATTACAAGGACTTATTATTATTATACAGGATTTATATAGCGCCGACAGTTTGCTCAGCACTTTACATTATGGAGGGAGACAGTACAGTAACAATACAGTTCAATACAAGAGGGATTAGAGGGCCCTGCTCCTTGGAGCTTACAATCTAGGAGGGAGGGGATAGTGGTACAAAATGTAAATAACTGTGGGGGATGGAGTGGTTGGAAGAGTAGAGGATTCCAGTATTAGCTGGGGGTGGGGAAGGCTTCCCTGAAGAGCCTAAAAGTGAGCAGAGTAGGCGATAGTCTGATAGATTGGGGTAGGGAGTTCCAGAGGATGGGAGAAGCCCTGCAGAAATCCTGGAGACGAGCATGGGAGGAGGAGACAAGGGAGCTAGAGAGTAGGAGGTCTTGCGAGGAGCGGAGAGTATGGTTTGGGTGGTGGTATTTAGAGACAAGATCGGTGATGTAATTTGCGGCAGTGTTATGAACGGCTTTATACGTCAGTGTTAGTGTTTTGAATTTTATCCATTGGGCAATTGGAAGCCAGTGGAGGGATTGGCAGAGAGGGGTGGCAGTTACAGAACGGTTAGAAAGGTGGATGAGTCTGGCAGCAGCATTCATATTGGACTGAAGTGGGGATAGCCTGCGATGAGGTAGGCCAAAGAGGAG